CGTGCGCATCTCAGCGTGAACAGCAGAATGGTCTATTGAATCAATCCACTTGGTTCCCGGACGGCCAACTCTGCTGGAGCCTCCTGGACGCAGATGGGAGGAGTTAGGATGATGTGGGACGACTCGGGAGGACTTGTAGATTCCAGCGGCGCTCCATTTTCCATAAGGACTCATTTCCGAATCCTATATAAAACTAATTGTTTCCTGTGGACTCCACTGGCGCTCCATTTCGTCATGAGGATTCCTTCTGACATTCTACATGCAACAATGGTGCTCTGTTGCGCACGGTTGCTGCGGAGCACGCAGGCGCCGTGGTGTACACAGGCGCTGTACTGCACGCGGGCATTGTAGTGTACACTGATGCTGTGTTGCGCACGGCTGATGTGGTGCACGCCGGCGCCGTGGTGTACACAAGCGCTGTGGTGCTCACAAGCACTGTGACACACACTGTCGCTGTGTTGCACGCGGCTGCTGTGGTGTACATAGGCGGTGTGGTGTACGCAAGCGTTGTGGTGCCGATCGCCACCCGTCCTCGGTCATTCCTAAGCATTCCCAGACGCCGCCGGCGCGAAACGTGACGTCATCGGTCCCGTCCCCCCCCGCAGATGACGGCCGTCATCGGCCCGGAATATAAAAACAGGCTCCAGCCGCGTCCGCGCGCACGACAACGATGAGCGACGGGCGACGAACGACGAGCGACAATGATGATGACGACGACGACGATGACGACGACAACGACGACAACGACGACGACGACTGCCGCGTATGCGGATCACGATGCGCACGGCGGCAGTACCCAGGGCGCACTGGGCGGGGGGGGCGTTACGTTATAGGGGGGGCGCCGGGGGCCATCATGCCCATTATGCCCCAAGCAATAAAGAAACAAGCTCATGAAACTTTAGTACATGATGTTTCTCAAACCTCTGGGCGCCAGATAGCTCAAAGATGAGTCTCTTGGGGTCCTCTGGGGCCGTCTTGGGGGCTTATTGAACCGTTCGGGGCCTCTCTTGGGAATTTCTTCGGGACTCTTCGGCCCCAAGATGACCTTTAAAACGGCCTTAAGGTAGCTCCAAGACGGCCCCAGACCATCCCAAGGTCAGACCTCCCCCAACCCCGCCGACATGGTCCTACGAGGCTCTGAATGACCCCAAAACGGCCCTGAGAGGCCCTGGGGGGGTCCCCCCGGGAGCACAAGCGAATCCCAAAGAGGCCCCAAAAGAATCCCAAGAAGGACCCAAGAGGGACCTGGAATAGCGACCTCGCGCCCGGATGGGGGACGCGAGCGAAAGAGAGACAGAGAGAGCAGCGAGAGCGTACAGAGTGAGAGAGAGAGAGAGGGAGCAGAGAGAGACAGAGAGAAAGTGGAAGATCTCACTATTCCTTTTCTATATTTTTACAAGGCCGGGAAACCCACCCCCCAGCGCCCCCCCCCCCAAACGAGTTTCGCCTCCTCGGGCCTGTCTTTCTTGTGCCTTGCTGTGGCCATCCTGGGGTCGCCTTGACGCCCCTCGAATCAAGCGATAGTGTACAAGCGAGAAGGCCGAACACATTGTTTTTCTACTGCGATTTCTCTGCGTTTCCCACTCTCCGGGCCCTGTTGCGCCAGTTTTGGGCCTCTTTGGGGCTCGTCTGGGGCCTCATCTGGAGCCGTCTTGGAGGCATCTGGACGCCAAGAAATCTAATCGGAAGCGACAAGGCGACACAACCAAAAACCTTGTTTTCCCGTATGATTTTCCTTCGTACGTCCATCTCTGGGCCCCCCTCTCCGGGCCCTATAGGGCTGGGGAGCGCCCCCCCCGCCCTCCCCCCAAAGACTTGTCCTTGGGTCGGCTGGACGCCCCCCGAATCAACCAGAAGTGAAAAAGCGAGAGGGCGGAAAACATTGTTTTTCTACCGCGTTTTCTCTGCGTTTCCCACTCTCCGGACCCTGTTGCGCCAGCCTTGGAACTCTTTGGGGCTCGTCAAGGGACTCAGTTGGAGACGTCCTGGAGCTGTCTCGACGCTTCAAGAGCCAATCGGGAGCGACAGAGCGAGAAGACCCAAAAACCT